TTTTTTTTTTTTTTTTTTAACGTTTATTTATTTTTGAGACAGAGAGCATGAATGGAGGAGGGTCAGAGAGAGGGAGACACAGAATCTGAAACAGGCTCCAGGCTCTGAGCTGTCAGTACAGAGCCTGACGCGGGGCTCGAACTCACGGACTGCGAGATCATGACCTGCGCTGAAGTTGGCCGCTTAACCGACTGAGCCACCCAGGCGCCCCTCCTGGACCCTGTCTTAAGTGCAATCTGTTGGATTTCACACAAGAGAATTTACTCTTTTGGAGAGATATATTTAATATCTCTTCTCCTAGATATTTATTCCACTTATAATTAAAAATTTTCTGTGTAGACAGTTTTCCAACTTTTTCATTTTTCTCTTCTTCCAAAGACATGTGTTTCTTTTCTGAATATTGGCAGCACATGAGAGGGAACCCAAATATATTATCAAAGTATTCATGACCCGTGGATATTAATAATACAGTTTACACCTGAGGGAGAATTTTGAGGAAAAACTCATGTGGGGAAAAACACTACCTATATAATATAGTAATCAGTCAATCAAATAAGCACCAAACAAGTAAAACCCCCTTTTTCTTTCAGTATACTGGAACACTTGAGGTTTTTAAATTCTCTTTCTTGCCCAAGTAGCTTCATGATGCCAAAGAATCATGGTTTTAGTTCAACCAACACCCTCAAAAGTGTGTGTGTGTGTGTGTGGGTGTGTTTAGAAGGTTCTTGGAAAGGCTAGTTATTCATGCTGTGAAAATTCTGTTAATGTTAATAAAGAGGATTTTATGAGAGAAATCAATTATTTTTAGATTTGGAAAATCTCACTGGTTGTGTCTATGAACTAGAGAGAAGTCAATTAAAATAGAAGTCATTTTTTTAAAAAAAAACTTAATTTCATTAGGATATAAGAGGCTCACATAAACTGTTTCTTAGCTTTTATTGTTACTGTTTCATTTTGTTCTGCATAACTCTATGCAGTATACAAAAAAAGTTTTTGCACTTGCCAGAAGAATTTGTTAAGGCAAAAATTTCAACTGACTTGCTTAAGTTCACACATAGCCAAACAGTAGAAGTACAAGAGCTGTATATAGGCCTCCTGGCCCCAAACCTGTGCTCTTTCTATTGGACTCCCCTCTGAAGCCTTGTTTGTTGTTATTAAAACGTATTCATAATTTTAACTCCACTTATTGCTTATTTACCACTAGTTCTGAATATGGGTGGCCTAAATTTTATGCTCATTAAATAAAATCCTCCTATGTATAAGTGTGGTATCATCTCCAGGTGCACCAATAAATTTACATTTTACTATCTGCATTTTGAAGGTCTTTTAATGAATCTTGTATTACTTTGATGTGAGTAAACCTCATGACTCAGGTTGCTATACCTATATAGCATAATGCCCATTTTTCATCGTTTTTCTAGGATGTTTTAGTTATTAGTCAATACTCTTTGAGTTGCAAGTGAGAAAACCAACTCAAGGTGTGCCTGGCTGTCTCAGTCCAGTGCCTGCGTTAATAGGAATGAGTGAATAAGAAGGGCTTATGTGAGCAGCCTGGTTACATGTCCATCCATTAATTCAGTTGTGCAGGGCGAGGTATTGTGACTGTCACCCCAAGCAGAATGACTTGGCTCCAAAGGAAGGGCCAAAGAGAATATTAATGGGAAGGCAAGCCGTGTAGTTGAAAATGGCAGATAGCCGCCATGAATATGGTTCTTGTGTTTAAATTATACTTCTTTTTTTTTTAATGTTTATTTATTTTTGAGAGAGAGAGAGAGCACGAGTGGGGGAGGGGCAGAGAGAGAGGGAGACACAGAATCTGAAGCAGGCTCCAGGCTCTGAGCTGTCAGCACAGAGCCTGGTGCGGGGCTCAAACCCACAAACCGTGAGATCATGACCTGAGCCAAAGTCAGACACCTAACCGACTGAGCCACCCAGGCGCCCCTAACTTATACTTCTAATTAGACATTTTGGTCTTGACCAGATATAAAAGAGATAATTTAAAAGGCCTAGGTGGGTATTTTGTGGAAGATGACATTCATGCTTTGTAGTAGTTATTGTTGTATGTTTGGTTGTTTCTGCTTGTTTGTATGGGAGCAGCATAATCGAAGGATGGGTTTAGGGTTTATTTCCAAGCCCTGCTTGTCATATGGTAGTGCTTTCCCAACTTGTTTGCTAATGTCCTGTGAAAGCCCAGGAAAGTGAATTAAACAACCAGGGGCTTAGGGAGGCAAGCAAACATCACATTTATTTGAGGACTCTTATGTTTTATCGAAAACATTCATCCATATTTTGTAATATACTCCATAATTTTCTCATTTAAGTTTAATAAAAGATAATACATTTAAAATACTAAACTAAACTGCTATCCTAGGAAGATGTACTGTCTTCCTTTGATTTTGAATAAATAGTGCAGGGTGAGAAAAATGGGCTTTTGGAATACTTTTGGCTAAAATCAGGGTTTTTAACATTTTGTCCCACCCTTTGGAGAATTTAGGCATTGGGCATTAGCTATTCCTTGGGTACATTGAAAGGTCTCAACTAAGAGCACAGCTTGGTGCTCTACTACTTAATGTTATTTGATACAAGTTTGGCTAACTCATAGTACTGGTATGAGATTTAAATGAAATAATTCATGGACAATTGTTTGGAATGTGAAAAATACTTTTAACTGTTATCATTAACTTAGCTATTTACCTCTTTTCATTATCTCTACTTTTCAAGTTTGTATTTTGCTGTGTTCTTTCTCAAATGAGTGCAATTAGATCATTTAGCTTCTCTAATGAGTTTCCTTTAACATTAGGCAGTTAACTAGAGAATGTATGTGCATACATACGTGTGTGTGCGCGCACACATAAAGATGTGCATTGATCACATGCACATGCAGATTGGTACCAAAGATGAGGGAGTGCTATATTCATAATCGATGTATTTTCTCTTTCTTAAAAGGAATTATGGCTCATCCCTTTTTGCCCAGTGTGAAGCAGTGGAAAACAGCTGTCAGCAGGTTCTATGGCTGTATGGAGAGGATAATCAGATAACTGAAGTTGGAACCATGAATCTTTTTCTTTACTGGATAAATGAAGATGGAGGTAATTCGCTCAGATTTCAGCTCTTTGTTCTTTGTCAGTCATTTTTAATAGGGCTGGAAGGAAAAGAACTAGGACCTTGGAACAAGGAATAAGTAGCACAGGTCCAAAGGCTAAGGACCACTGTGCTTTGTTGTTCAAGTAGAAATGAGTTTAAATTTACAGAATTTATAAAGGTTTTGGTTTCGGGTTTTGGCTCTAGATGTGCTTATCATTGAGATGCCAACTTAAGGAATTTAAATCCCCATGATTTGAAGATTCGTAGCCTTATCCCCTCTGCCATCTTCTTAACAGCTTTTCTATCTGAAATCCCCTGCATTTGGAGATAGGTCTCAGATCAGTTCACCGTATACTATATGTATAAAATGTAATAACAAGCATCATCTACTGATTCTACTGATATGAGATTTAGTGTATTCTCTTGCCAGAAGTCTTTTAACAACTGATGCCCTTTCTACATATTTTGATAATATATCAGGAGCCTTCCAGATTTACTCTGGAGCTCAATTTGATTAAAACACACTATTTTTATGGACAAATTCGTCCCTTTTAGGATTGTACTTAGATTCTGGTTCATTCAAGACTGTTAATAGGTATCTACTATAAAAACCAGTTATTTCTATATTACCTAAAATATCCTAAATGCTCATTATCTTTCTTTTCTGTTTTTTTTTTAATTAGTTGGCAGAAACCATAGAGGTTTAGTGAAGCATTGGCAATGTCGATGGTATTGGATTAAATGGCCAATCATGGGGAAAAATACAGATAAAGGCATTTATTTCCATTAGAATTTTAATAGTCACAAAAAATTTTAACTATCTTTTTAGGCTTGTTTATGTTCTTATGCTGTTCATTTCACAGTACTGAGTATAGAGACTAGAAAAAGTTCCCAAACACTTATAAAGTCTGAGTGTTCATTTCAATTAAAATTTTAAGTAAAATTTTTATTTTGAGGTAGCTACAGTAACTTCTCTTGCTCTTTTGTTTTTTGGCTACTAATGTTGGAAAATGGTGATTCACATGTGGCTGACTTCAGAGCTATGCACTAATTTGAGCATTAGTTGTAGAAACTAGTAAGATGAGCCTTATATTCCAGTCAGAGGTAGAATAAATAGAAGGTATGGTGAGTACACCTTGTCCTGGGGTTGACCATTGGTAATCCTTGGCATCTGAAAAGCCAGATACAGGTCATGCTGATTCTTCCATTCCTGTTGTTTATACTTGGCACTATTTAAAAATAAAATTTATACTGGAATATTCGTGATTTCCAAATCTGAGTCATTGCCTATGACCTACCTCAAAAGCTATGCTTGAAAGATGACAGTCAATGTTGCACTCTGTATTTAGGAGATAATAGGTTGATTCAACTCATTCTTTGCACCGTCTGCCCACTCCAACGCCCTTGCCCCCCCACCCCCAAAAGAAAACCACACAACCCTAAACAAAAACAGTTACATCATACAGAAGTGGTACCATCATTATTTATGGATGGGAGATGTCAAGATTTAAGTACAGTTTGAATCAGAGCTCCATGATTTAACCAAGAACACAAGAAACTTGTCCTGGTGAAAAATTACTTCTTATCCAAACAATAATCATGAGCCATTTCCGCCATGGCTTTTAAAGGTCAGAACGGAAATGAGTGAATTTGTCTTCTGACTCTTACAAAATATACAAGACCTTAAGAGTTGCTATTCACATTATGGTTGCCTGAGATAGCTTTAGTCCATCTTGAGGGTGTTCACCTAACATATCAAATAAAATTTGAAGTAAGGGGACAAGAGATGGAATAAATGTTTGGACAGTACCATGAGAGAAGTCAGTAGAATGTAAGGAATAACCTTTAGGCTAAAAACAAAAGAAGACGTTGAAAGAACTCTACTCTAACTTCACCATGTGGCTTTAGGAAAATACAAAGAATAATGAGTTGAAAATCAACAAAATACTGATTTTCACAAACTTTGCCTATTGGAGGTATGAGTAGAACTCTTTTAGGAAAAACCTACCTTCTTTCTATGAGCCCCCACACTCACTGCCCCTTTGGGACATGATGGCTGCTGCAGAAAGGTATATAAAATAGATAATCTGTGTTCACAGCACAGTGCTGTGCACAATAACTATCTGTGGCAGTTGGCCTCTAACCCATGTGGTTTTGGCTCTAGTAACAGCAACCCTGGTGTTAAGATCACATAGCAGCGATTCTCTGTTTTACTGTGTTGGTGAGTAATTTAACATACACATTTGCTATTCACTGTTGGGACAAACAGTTTTATCTCGCACTGGACTTTGGGGCTGTCCTGAGAATAAGACCCAGTTGTGTGGTTGAGTTTAGAGTTAGTCTGGGAGAACGATCATGACAGTGAATGTTGATGTCGCTCAGTCTGCTCAGGCCCCATGAGCCTTCTCAGACATCAGGCATTTACAGACTTTGGAACATTCTTCCCTGGGATGTGGGCGTGGCTTGCTCTGTCACTGCTTTCAAGTCTTTGCCCACTTACCCCATTCTCAGTTAAGGCTTTCCTCGAGCATCGTAATCAATTGCAAACTCCCTCCCCCCTGACCCCTAGCATTCCTCATTATCTTCCCTCTTTTTTTTTTTCCTTTTTTTCTCCATAGTCTAACATACTATTTAACATAATAATTGTTCTCTACCTGTTAGAAAGTAAACAGGAATTATATCAGTTTTGTTCACTGCTTTATTCATAGTGCATAGATAAGCCAACTGCACACAGTGCCTACCTCGATAATGTATATTTGTTGAGTAGATAATAATTGTGTGTGCTTGGGCACTCATACAAACCCACATTCCCAGTTTTTATTAGAAATTGACTTTGGGATGTCACAGATGACTCCTGCCGTTATTGCTTCTAAATTCTTCAACTCCTAAAAATGATTTCTTTGTCAAAAACAAGTTGTGTTTGTAGGCTCTGTTTTCCTCATGTTGGGCAATCTGGAGCTAGTTCTGGCTCTTGTAAGCATGTTTGTGGTTGCAGAGGAAAATGAATATTTCTCACCCAAATGTTGTCATGTCATCATCTCTGTCTGGCAACCCGAGAAACAGATGTTCTGTGTCTTGACCTTAGGCTAGTGGTTACAGTTTTGGGTGTTAAGTATATTTCACAGAACTACACTTGCACATGCGAGGCCGCTGTTTTTATTTAACTTGATATAGCCTTAGAGCTCAGCAAGCTTTAGGGAAGGTCCAGTTTGGAGGCACTGGAAGTATGTTTGTCTATATGTGTGGGGTATATGTGTGCACATACACACACACACACACACACACACACACACACACACACACACACACAGAAATCCCTACACTTATGTATCCAGCCAGCTAGCTATTGCAAAGCACAGGTTTATTTTGAGATCAACACTTCTAAACATGACAAAGAGTAGCCCTAAGAACATTGCCAAGAACAAATTTTCTTCTTTCCAGAAAGCGGTTTTCAGCAGATGATTTTTAGAAACAAACTTGAAAAAAATCATACTGCTGTCTCCTAGCAAAGAGGATTATTCATTTATTTATTTTTTTTATTCAGAAACACTTATTACATACCACCCTAGGCCAGGCACAATGCCAAGTTTTAGGGACACAGGAATGCATATAGAGTTTTGGTCTTTCAGACAGCTTGCTTTCTGGGGATGTCTGATGTAACCACAGTGGAGCAGGTGAACCCAGACCACAGTATATGAAAAGAAAGGACAGTGGTCTCAGTGTTGGGCCACTTAAGTTGTGATCCTGACTGTCCCCCAGTGTTACCAGTCTTGCAAGTCATTTATGTTTACAGAGCCTCTGTTTTTTTGTTTTTTGTTTTTCTGTAAAATAAGGATTGTATGAGGTGACTTCTGAAGTCCTTCTTCAGAAGGTTCGAGCCCCACGTTGGGTGTAGAGATTAAAAATAAAATCTTTTTTTTTTTTTTTTAACGTTTATTTATTTTTGGGACAGAGAGAGACAGAGCATGAACGGGGGGAGGGGCAGAAAGAGAGGGAGACACAGAATCGGAAACAGGCTCCAGGCTCTGAGCCATCAGCCCAGAGCCTGACGCGGGGCTCGAACTCACGGACCGCGAGATCGTGACCTGGCTGAAGTCGGACGCTTAACCGACTGCGCCACCCAGGCGCCCCTAAAAATAAAATCTTTAAAGAAAATAAAAATAAAAAATAAAATGGTTGGGGGGAACTTAAAGATACCAGTGTGATTTCTATAGTTTTTGCTACCTGGTGATCCTCTGAAGCATACCTGGAATATTTCTCTGCAAACACATAAGTAACACATCTGCTACAAGGTTCAACATCTTTTTAAAGTGATTTAAGGTTTAAGTTTCTTACTAGATTTAGATTCTTGGGTGCCAGACGTGGGGAGGAGAAGAGAATGTTGAGTACCAGAGGTTTTTTGTAAGGAGAGCTTGTGTGGTTGTCGGATCACACAGACCATTATAAACAGATCACCATGCCAGCCCTCGTGTCGGTTAGGAATGCATGTGATCACTCTCAAAGATGACCAGTGTCTCACCTTGGCTCTCTGTGAATCACCCATGGAGTTTTGTTTTGGGTTTTGGATTTCTTTTTCTCTTCTTTTTTCTTTATTAGCCACATACATACTCGAGCCCATCCTGAGTCCATTAACATTTGGATCTCAAAGCGTGAAGTCAACATCTCCATATTTGATGTGGATATGCCTCCAGGTTTGAAAATCACTATAAATAGACTTGTCTATGAAGGGCAGTCTGGAAGCAGTGACCAACCTAAATAAGCATACACACTTCTTGAGGATGGGTTTTCCTCCACAGTATTCTTACATGCTTTGGTAATGACCAGTGTTCCTAAGATCTATCTACGTGATTCTAATTAGTAGCCACTGTTAATCCTCTAAGGTAAATTTAGCTTCAGAATTTTCCTCTTAGTATTTGTTAGTAGAACATCATCTCAGTTTTTCCTAGTTAAGGATAAATTGAAGATGATTAGATGAGTGATCTGCTTTCTTCTCCTTCTCCTTCTTCCTCTTCTTCTTTGTCTCCTTCTTCCTCTCCTCTCCCTCCTCTTCTTCTTCTTCCTCTTCCTCTTCTTCTTCTTTTATTTTTTTAATGAAGATCTACCTGAAGTGTGAATCAATTTGGGAAGGTAGACAAGGCAGAACAGTAACATCATCTTCATGTTTATTACTAGCAAAGTTGCCAGAAACAGTTTTTTAAAAAATGGTTGTTGATATAAGGCTAATGTAGTTAAAGTTTGAAAATATTCCAATTTCTACTTGACAGAAGAAGAACTGGCAACTCCTCCGCTAGATGGCATCATTCTTCCAGGAGTGACGAGGCAGAGCATTCTGGACCTGGCACGCAAGTGGGTGGGTGCCTTTCACGTGAACCACTTTAGAAGCATGAAACAAAAAGTCATCAAAATGAGCCCGGCTTAGTTCCATCCAGTGTTATCTAATCTTTAAATCTTAACTTGAGTGGAAAGAACTCTTCTAGAAGGACTGTCTCAGTAAGGCCAATATAGAAGTATTGTTTATAGGAAGGGCAGAGAGAAAACAGTTTGGCAAGTTATCCTAGTGAAGCAGTATTCTAGTGCTAATCACAAGCTCTGTAGCAGGTGTCTCCTACCAACTCACCTGGTTTATACTTCATGTGCTTCCATTTCACCAGGCCTGAACTTTTCCAATCTAAGTGTGTTGTTTCCCTTCCAATAATTTATAGTTCTTCCCTTCCTCTATTTATTCCAGTGTAACCATGCTAGTCACAGAAATTAAAGAATTTTACTGACATAAATGTTTACTAACATAACTTTATTAGTTTGGCTGCCTATTTTCTCCCTCCTTCCTGCCCCCTGTCCTCCCCAATTCACATACATGCTTATTTTAAAGTCAAAACACTCAAGCAAATGTAGTTGTTTTCAGTAGAGTTTCTGATCTGTGTGACACAGGCAAGCATGTTAAACCATTTGGTATTGAAATGACATTTATAACATACTCAAGATGAATATTGGATGAGTTGGTTATCTGGCAAAGGTTCTTGGATGGAACTTTTGACCCATGTGTTAAAATGGTCTCCACGGGACATGAGAAGACTTTGAGCATACTGTGGTCAAACAGTATTAATAGGACAAATGTTTAGAAATGCACATATTACCTAGGAGAGTGCTAGCATACTTTCTCTGGAAAAAGCTTTGGAAATAAAGGAAATGTGCTATAAATAATTCTACAAAACCCTGAAGTAGACAAGACCCAACTGCCACATGCTGGCTGGCACATTGGGCATGACATTTACAAACTGTTGGTATAATTTCAAACAGCTTGCCCTGTCCTAAATATGTTTGCAGTTGGAAAGATGTATTTTCGAAGCTCAGTAATTTTTGTTTTATTAAAGAAAAAAATCAACCAAGTACAGAAGGTTTGATGACAAGTTGCAAGTGGAAATGCTTTCCCACACTAATGATTTGCTAGCATGAAATTAGTTATTATGGAGGAAGTTTTTCCTTGACTCCTTAGCTGTAATTTATTTTAAAAGCTATTTTAAAACAGTGAGACATAAATGCCAAGAGGCATGTGGGGGGTTACCATTACTTGCCAGACAGGGGAAATTGTCCAAAGATAAGTAAGGGTGAGCAGAGGAAAAACAATTCTGTTTATTTACAAGAGATTTTTTTTTTTTTTTTCCAGAACACAGAGCTCATCTCATTTTCAGTTAACTTGGCTGATTTTCTGGAATTTATTTATTTATTTATTTACCTTTGAACAACATAATTGAAATTCCAGACTGAGATAAACTGAAACTTGCAAAGAGCCATATTTTCTGTTGTAGACCTATTTTCCGACTCTCCCAAATCATACTTACGGCATGATGCCTTCTTCTAATATTTTGAATCTTGCCAAGGGCTCTGAATTTCATTTTTATCTATTGTGGATCTGTAAGTTTTAAAAAATACTCTTCTTAAAAAAAATTAAGGTCAACAAAGGATGGATAAATACTTTTTTAATAAGTTTGAGACAAACTTTGAACCTTAACCACTAACATAAAAGAATGAGAATTAATACAGATTAAAGAATGAGTTTCAAAAGATCATTTATTTAAGCAGATAGTTTAAAAGCATCAGCTTCCCCCCCCCCCAATTTCCTATCTTTGAGCAAATAAAATGTTGAAATAGTTCAGCAGAGTTGATGAGGTTATGCCAATAATTCTGTGATGAAACTCAACCCAATAGGATACTAAAGAGGAGCAAGGGGATTTCTGCTGTAAAGACAACTGAATCAGTGAATTGAGGAAAAAAAGGAATATCCCATGCAATTTCTCGAAGTCCAAATATACTTTCAGTGTTTTAAAATAATGAAATAGTTCAGATAGTTAAACTCAGTCTATGTTTTCACTCCATAGAAGACCTAGTAGAGAGTGGAGGAAATTTAGAGCCAGTCAGATCACACCTGAGTTCAAATTCAGTTTCTGCCGTTTACTAGCTATGTGGATTTAGACATGTCGCTTAGCCTCCCTTTGAACCTTAATTTCTTCATCCGTATAATGGGGATGATAATACCCACCTTAAAAATGAGAGTAGGAGGCATGCAATGGGTGCTGAATAAATAATTATTAATATTATCTAAGAATATGTTCTCTTTTGTGGTAAATAGGGTTCAAGACACTGTTAACATAGAACACACATTAAGTAGCACAGCAAGTGCCTTATCTTGTGAGACTTTAGGCATGGCAACAAATAAAAGGCCAAAAAAGCTGGCATGCATTAAAATATACCCCGTATTTTATAGTGATGGTGTTACGTTATACTCTGATCGTCTTACTCTGATCATCTCGTTTAGCGATGCTGTGACCTTGGAGTAGATTGCTTAACACCTCAGCATGTTTACCAGTAAGGTAGTGGTGCTCTCTTCAGCTTTCCCTCAGAGGATGATTCTCACATGATTTGAGTTCAGAGTGTCAGGTTGAAAGGTTAAGTACGACAGGGCTTATTTTGCATGCCTTTTCCTTGCAAATGTTAATATTTCTATTTTTTATATTCCAAACAGGGTGAATTTAAGGTGTCAGAGAGGTACCTCACCATGGGTGATTTGACAACAGCCCTGGAGGGGAACCGAGTGAGAGAGATGTTTGGCTCGGGTACAGCCTGCGTTGTTTGCCCAGTTTCTGATATACTGTACAAGGGTGAGGTAAGAGACAATCTCTTCACCTCCTGTCATTTCCAAGCATTTGCCTATAATTTATTTAATTCTTTAAATGTGTAAATGAAATGGTAGTTGGACCCAAGATGCAAAGGATTTTTTTCTTTAATAACTTGGCAGTTTGTCCCAATGAACCTGTATTACCAAATTACTTACTCTCATCTTTCCAGCAATTTTGTGCAAGCTCCAGTATGGGAGGGAGTCAGTTTTGTCCTTGGAAATGTATCACATCTGTTTTATGTCAATTTAGGGATTGGAGATGTGCCAATAAGCGTCCATTCTTATTTCTTCCTTTTAGCTTGCTAAGAAGGTTCTACAGGTAATTAGATTTCCGTTTCTGGTTTCCAAAAGTACTCCCAAACTATTAGAGTAGTAATGGCAAACAGTTACGGAAAATTCATTTGAATGATTAACTCCTACATTTATTATTATTATTGCTTCTGTTGTTGTTATTACTATTTAAACCACTTTATGAAAAATTTTCATTTGGCTAAGTTGGTACATCAACTAAAATCCTCCAAAAATAATTCAATCATTTGGTTGGAAGAAGTGTTCTCCTCCCAGTGAATTAGTCTGATTTTATATGTGGTATATTTCGACTCTTTGTTAGTTTTGTTGTTGGTGGTAGTGTTTTGTTTTTGTTTTTGTTTTTTTGCTTTCCCCTTTATCACAAAGCTTGGATATTTAACATCGTCGTCTAACTTTATAGCTTAAAGGCATGTGGGTATTATTCTTAGGATGTGAATTGGCTTGACTTAATCATATTAAATACAAACTTGATTGGTTTTTAAATTGAAAATAGATAAATAAAATAATTATTTTTCCTCTGTTACTTTCCTTTTCTGATTTTAATGGTGGCTACTTCATTGCTTGAGATTTTCGAACTTGCTTGTAAGGAGTGGCTTTTAACATGATTCCATCGACAGATTGATTGTTTCAAGGGAGAATTATTTTACTATGTATCAATACTTTTACTGAGTATAAAGCTACTGTTTTGTGTTTCATTATTGTAGTATCTAGGTAAATGCATTATTGGTCCACTTTTTTAATGAACTAAAGTTGTCATGAAGTCACATTTTTTAAGTACAATCATTTCACCTCTAGAAATAAGTTTATAAAGCTCAACGTTTTTATATTGGTCTTGTCTCACAGGGCATGCAGAGCTAAAGGTACATCTAATTACCCTATTATCCTAAAGAGCATAAGAAGAAAAGAGTGACAGCATGGGCTGTCTACTAAAATCAGACTATCAAAAGCCTGCAAGCCAGCCAGGCAGGAATGGACATGACTCAAGTGGAAATTAGGGGCAGGAAATCTCTCAGCCCCCAGTGTAATGATGCTGTCCAGCACTGTGGACGTTTGACTTGGAACAGACATAGGTTTAGAAGCCTATTTTGTGAAGGCATAGACTTGCTTTCATATACGTCCCTGCAATGACTTGCTTTAATTTGTGGCAAAAGGTTTTCGAGTTCTCATTCCCTGCCAGAAGAATTAGGTAAGGAGGCCAATCATTCATCCTGTAGATTCTCAGAATCCTGAAAGAGGTAGGATTCTTTATGTTTGGCCACTATTTTAGGTAGCCCTAGCTCTTTGGTCTCTGTGGTTCCTCATATCAGTCTGAAGACCAACATATAAACCAGTTGTGCCCTAAAATCAGTTGGTAGGCAAGAAACAAACTATCATTGGCTACTTTGTTTTTATTCAAATTCAGAATAGAAAAAGAGTCTTTGGCATAAGGGGTTGGCATAGCCCTTATGATCAGGTTATCATAGTACCATTCCTTATTTCAGTGGGATTGTCTTAATACAGTAGAATTGCTGAGTGTCTTACTTACTGCATACATGGATATCCTCCAATTATCCTGCCTGTGATATTCTTTCATAGACTGTACACATCCCAACTATGGAGAATGGTCCTAAACTTGCAAGTCGGATCTTGGAAAAATTGACTGATATTCAGGTAAGGGCTTCTTTTTTAAAAAAAGGGCTTCTTTTTATTTCAATCAGAACTAAAACCAAATCATATTTCAGTGGAGAGAAGAGAGTAAACACTGCCATTTGGGGTTAACAAATTAAATTTGTAGAATAAAGCACAAAAGGAAAATATTACCTGTGATTCCAACACTGAAATATAACCACTGTTAATTTTTGATCTCTCAAAAATATTTTGTGTTAATATACTTCTTGAAGTATTTTTCTAACAAAATAGTCATATGTGATCTGTTACCTGCTTTTTTTTCATCCAGCAAATCATTTGCTTTTTTGTATCAATAAATAAATTTCTCCATTCCATGTATAAAATTTAATTGAATTCTGTGATTTGATGTACTGTAACTTTTATTTTATTTTATTTTTTTTTTAATTTTTTTTTCAACGTTTTTATTTATTTTTGGGACAGAGAGAGACAGAGCATGAACGGGGGAGGGGCAGAGAGAGAGGGAGACACAGAATCAGAAACAGGCTCCAGGCTCTGAGCCATCAGCCCAGAGCCTGACGCGGGGCTCGAACTCACGGACCGCGAGATCGTGACCTGGCTGAAGTCGGACGCTTAACCGACTGCGCCACCCAGGCGCCCCTGTACTGTAACTTTTAAAGAATCATTATTATTGAACATTTATGTTGTTGGCAGTTTTTTGTTTTTTGTTGTTGTTTTTTTTTTTTTTTTTAACCTGTTACAAACACTGCAATCTTTGATTATTTCCTTAGGATAAGTTCCTGAGATTGTAACTGTTGGGTCAAAAACAGTGCATACCTATTTTTTTCTACTGCTAACCTTGTTCTGCCTGTTTTTTCCTGAGCAGCAGTTTACAGTGGTGTCTCATCAGACAGTTAAGCATATCTCTAGGCAGGCTTATCAAGTACCACGTAATGCTGGGTCATCAATAAAAGGACTGTTCTATAACTTGCAAAACCCTCACACGTTGTTGGACGATTTTGTTGAGCCCAGATATCATGATTGCCAGTCACTGAACATACCCAAGGGGAGCTGAGATTCATACTGAAATGTGAAATAAAGTTTGATAGTTTGAGTGACACCAGATGGTTTAGGTCTTAAAACTATACAAAAAAAAAAAAAAAAAAAAAAAAAAAAAAGTTGACAAAACAGCAGGCCCCTCCAGAGCAACTGAGGTCCTGGGATAGTGATAAGAATGGTATTTTTGGAAGACTTACTCAGCAACTTTTATGCAAAATTAATAACATTACAAGATAAGAATGATTGTGGTTTTTGAATCGATGAAATGTTGCTCTTTTCCTCTTCAGTAAAGGCTTTCTATAGAAATCCTTCAACTGGGGCCCCTGGGTGGCTCAGCCAGTTAAGGGTTTGACTCTTGATTTTGGCTCAAGTCATGATCTCATGGTTTGTGAGATTGAACCCCATATCAGGCTCTGTGCTGACAGCATGAGTCTGCATGTGCAGTACAGCCTACTTGGGATTCTCTATTCCCCTTTCTCTGCCTCTCTCTCTTTCTCTCAGAATAAACATTTAAAAAAATTCTGCAAACTAAATAAAGGAATATCTTAATATTAGAAGACATATAATTTATTGAGTCTTCTACTTTTATACATGAAAACAATTAAAAGTAATTGGAAGAAATTAAATTAATAAGAATATTTGGATGTTTTGGTAATCTAAATTTTTTTACAGTTGAGTAAATCTGATGAAGGTAATAAGTTATTAGTGTTTTGCACAAATAAGAAACAGAAATAGAATAAAAATATATAATTGGCCAAATTATGAAAGCCTTTATCCAAAACAGAAATTGAAAGATTTTTAAGAGGGGAGGCAGTATTTGCAACAACATGGATGGAACTACAGTGTATTATGCTAAGCAAAATAAGTAGAAATACAAATGTCGTATGATATCACCCATAAGATAAAAACAGATGGGAGACAGACTATAAGAGATTCTTTTTTTTTTTTTTTTTTTAAGAATTTTAAAGTTTATTTATTTTTGACAGAGCACAAGCAGGGGAGGGGCAGAGAGAGAGGGAGACACAGAATCTGAAGCAGGCTCCAGGCTCTGAGCTGTCAGCACAGAGCCTGACGCGAGGCTCAAACCCACGAACTGTAAGATCGTGACCTGAGCCAAAGTCGGATGAGCCACCGACTGAGCCACCCAGGTGCCCCAAGATTCTTAAATACAGAGAACAAACTGAGGGTTGCTAGAGACATGTTGGATGGGGGGATGGGCTAAATGAGTGATGGGCATTAAGGAAGGCACTTGTTGGGATGAGCACTGAGTGTCATATATAAGTTATGAATTACTAAATTCTATTCCTGAAATCATTATTACACTATATGTTAACTAACTTGGATTTAAACAAAAAATAAAGAATAATAAAAAATAAATAAAACTTAAAAATTGGAAGGAAAAGAGGGGAGGTCGTGTTGTTATGGTAATAAGAAAATATCACTTTGGAACCTTTTCTTGAATACATACAGAGGGGAATCCTTCATTTTATTGGACTTAATACACAAAATGAGATCTCAGTACCTCTTGGAGATTATATGAAATAAGAAAATTACCCTTAATTTGATTTGGTTGTAAAGGATTAAAAAAAAAGAAAAAGTCAACTGTATTTGAAAGGGAAAATCAAACTGTATTAAATTTGAATTGGAAGAAAGATCTAAGTAGAGGTGTTTGATGGACATAATCATGAAGCTTTGCCTAAGGCAGGCAAAAGCAGAAATGTTTCCTCTCTCTTGAGATAGTGCCAAAGTATATGCATCAGAACTCTAAGTAAAAGAGAAGCCCAAAGACATATTCCGGGGGGAAGAGGACATGCCATTACAAAAGTTCTCAGAGCATTTTTAAAGTAAGATTATGGATGTAAGATTAGTGAATAAGTGAATGTTTTTGATTAATTCATTCAATAGATATATGTCTTGAGCACAAACAGTGTGCAAGAGACTATTCCAGGTGCTGGTGATTTAATAGTAGTAGAAGGGATAAAAAAAAATTGGAGAAGTCAAAGCTGTAGAGAAACAAAATACTCAATTTAAATGTGAGACCACATGAATACTTTTAAGAATAAAAGATCCATATGAAGCAGAGAATGAGAAGAAACAACATTTTCCTTTTACCTGTATATATTCTCTATATAACTTAGTGCCTGTGGCTAAGAAATTAATTTCTCTCTTTACCCTAGGTAGTAAAATGTAATGGTATTAACACTGAAAATTAATGATACATTCAGAGCTTCCCTAGGAATAAGGAAACAAAAGGGGTGGAGACACAGGATACATGAGATAATATAATGATTCTGAATTAAACCACAAACCAGAAGGACCAACTCTGCTCCAAATTGTTAAGTAACAGAGGACTATCTATCCAGAATCTAAGACCACATCCTTCTTTTTCAATTATTTTATGCCTGTGGGCATGGAACCTAAAGTTTCAAAATTATTCTCTTATAAGATAGCAAATTGGTGCTGTCACCCAAGCTACAGGTGCCTGTTTCTGTCCACAAAAAATAATTTAAGTAATTATTGAGGAAAAAGCGTAGAATTGCATCATGTTTTACATTTGATCTCTTTGACATTACATGAAAAACATGGATATTTCGTAAGAAGTGCTCTGGTAAATTGAAGAGAGCAACAACAACCAATAGACCCAGATGATTCTTACCACTCTGACGTGGGGGGTGGAAATCCTTCTTAACCACAGATGTGATTGTCGTTTAACTTGTGTGTTTCTGTATATGAGTAAGAACCTCTGAGGTTAAGTATTCATTCCCCTTGGCGAATTTTCCATAAAATTCCATGGATTTTAGATTGCCCTAAAAACACCTCTTAGGAGGGGAGTGTTTCAGTCTTTTTTTTTTTTTTTCCCCTCTTTCTTTTTTCAAGTGACAAAGAAAAACAGTTTTGTGTTACTTAACCGGACTTCAGCATGGAGAACATTAGCCATATTGCCTATGTTTCTTTTCTCTTGCATCGCTCTTTGCCAATCTGATTACTCACCATCGTATTCACCAATATGCCTGCTATTGGGATAATCTCTGTTCTCCAATTGACTCTGCTGTCTGCTTCTTCCTGCCTTTCTGTACCTTCTACAGTTTGCCTACTTGAGAAGGTATTGGTTGTCTGTCAAGACACATCTCCTTGAGGAACTTTTAAAGTCTGTCTTGAGCAACATCCCTGTCCCCAGTACAAACACGTATTCATCCCCTCAAATATAACTTCTTCTTCCAGCTTCCAATGTACCTGGGTTCCATATCACATATGGCCTTTAAGTTGTATTCTAATTAGTCACACACTTGTCTTTGTTCTAAGGTTGTTTGAATGTAGGAATTGTTTTACTCCCTTCTTGTAACCCCAGTATTCAGTACAAGGCCTGGGCTATCATATACACTCAGTAATGTTTCTTGAATAAATGAATAAAGGAACAAATAAGTGAGTGATAAACCAGACAGATACTGAAGGACAAAAACATGTTGCTCTTATATATTAACACATTCTGAGGAGAGGTGGGAGGAAGGCCTTAAATAATATCAAATGACTTTTCTTTTTTTTTTAATTTTTTTAAACATTTATTTATTTTTGAGAGAGAGAGAGAGAGACAGAGTGTGAGTGGGGGAGGAGCAGAGAGAGAGGGAGACATAGAATCTGAAGCAGATTCCAGGCTCTGAGCTGTCAGCACAGAGCTCTACGTGGGGCTCGAACCCATGAACTGTGAGATCATGTCCTGAGCCGACTAAGCCACCCCAGGCGCCCCACATATTACTTTTCGAGAAAACTTTGAGCGAACCTGATTTTAGACATTTTTAAAGTGAAATACACATACCAAGACTGCTGTCAGAATCAAATAAAAACCTGGAATCCAGGCCTTAAATATCAGGGCAGCATGTTTGTGTAACTAGCAGAGCTGCTGTTGAGGTTTTAGGAAGTGGGAAGTAGTGATTGCAAAGACCTGAGAGGTGGAAGTCCTGTTCTGTTGTTTTTTTTTTTAATTAATT